GCATCCTAGCATCAGTTCTCATTGTATCCTGTGGTTTCTCATCTTTCGCAGCTATGCCATTCTATTCCTGTTCTTAGACCTGCTGCATCCATGTCTTCTCTTTTCATTCCAGCTTCCTGGCCTTCTTTTAATTCCCCCCCCCACCACACACACTTCCCAATGTCATAATTGTTGCATGTCTCGTCTGTGACTACCCTGTCATGTCTAGCCCTGCAGGGGTCCATTTGTATTTGTTAGCCTTTGTTTTCCCTTTTGTCTGTCAGGTGGATTCTTCAAATTCTCATGTACAGCCTACATCTGCACTTCTCCTCCCTCCAATCGCTTTTACCTTCAATGTTTTGAGGATTTGGTCTCAGATCTCTTGGCCAAGAATGCCACTGAAAAGGTATTCACCCCTACATGTAGTTATTACTTGTCCTTTTGTGGTCCCCAAGAAGACTGAGGAGTGGCATCCAGTTATCGACTTGTCATTTCTCAGTTGGTTTCATATCATCCCTTAGTTGTCTATAGAAACCATCTATGGTGGTTCTTTTCACTGAGTCTGTGGATGACCAAAGTTGACATTTTGAACACATTTTTACACATTCCAATTGTATCATCCTCTAGACTTTTTTTGTTTTGTTTTGTCAATTGGAATTGGGTATTCCAGTTGTATGCTCTACCTATTCACATTGTGTCTGCTCCTTATGGTTTTAATTGAATCATGGGGTATTTCTATGCCTTGTTCATGGATTGGGGCTGAGTTTTCATTATTTTATGTATGATTGGCTTCTCCTACCATTCTAAGGAGGACTCATTCTTTCAAACTTTATTCTTCTGTAGGAGGCTGCGAGGTTGGGCTGCCTGTCACACCTGCCAAATTTTCTCACACCCATCTTATAATTAGTCAGGCTCAGCCTTCACCACTTTGCCTTCAAGCAGTGGAATGTTTTGTCACCTAGATTTATGCTTCTCTTCTACACCTTTTACGTGAAGTTATTTTGCTCTTGAGAACTGGCTTCCCTCTAACCACTCATAACTTTAGACTGTGCACACATGCTACTTCTCCAGTTGAAATAATGGAACCTGTGGAACCTTTTTTTCAGGATCTCTTCTCCTTGATTATGCACCTCCCCTATTCTCTTCTTGAGGACTGGTCTTAGTGGCTTGATGGTGCCAACACCACAGTGGGTGTCCCTTTGCTGCCCCCTGACCAAATCTCCATCTCTTCACAGATGCTTCTTTGTCAGACTGGGGTGCATCTGAACAACTACATGACTTTGGGCATGGGGGCTCCAGAGGGATGTTCACTCCACATCAATGTCCTTGTATTTCTAACTGTCCATTGATAATATTATCCTTTCCTCTCTCTTTTTATAGGCTGATTGGTCAGTCATGATCCACTCTCACAATTCCACATTTGTTTTTTGTATCAGCCATCAGGGGTACCCATTTCAAGACTCTTAACATCCACACATTGGACCTACTATTTTGGGCTCATTTCATTCCTGTCCATCTCACGTCTTGTATTGTCCTGAGGGCTCTGAATATGGTAGTGAATCACTTCTCTTCATTGAAAAGGGTTCTACCTGGAGAATTGTCTCTCCACCCTCATGTTTTTCATTGGATTTGCTCTCAGTTGGGCTTGCCTCTCATTGATGTCATTGCCACTCCTCTAAACACCAAACTTTCCTGCTTCTGCTCCCATGTTTCATTTCCTTTGGCTCTGGTGGTCAGTGCTCTCAACCAGGGCTGGTTTCACCTTTTTCTGTATGCTTATTCTCCTCTTTACCTTCTCCCATGTATGTGTCTTTGCTTTCATACATGAAACTTCTTGTCTGGTCCTGTTGGTGGCACCTCTTTGGCAGACACAATCTTTATTCTTTAGCATCTAGGCCTCCTTTTCCTCTACCCCATTCCCACTCTTTATTGTTCCAACCATATACCTCTCACTTTTGCCTAGGGATGTTGTCTCTACATCTTCATGTGTGGGATTTGTCTGGTCCATTGCCCACAGGGCTGAATTCTCCAACTGTGGATTTTTTTATTATCCTTTTCCTTTTGTCCTTCAACTCTGATCGTATATCAACAGAAGTGACGTTTTTTTTTTTTTACATTGGTCCATTGGCTATTCCTTTCCTCCAAACTGTCTTACTGTAGCCAGCATTTTCGCAGTTTTTTTAACATGGATTGTTTGTTTCCACAGTTGCTAGTTATTGAGCAGCTTTATCAATTACACTTTGCCTTTCCTGTTACTATCAGATTTTCCTTTCCCAGTACTCTCTGCTTTGTTCCTATCCTTTCTTCTTCACTGACCACCTTGTTGTTCCCTATGTTTGACTGGGGCCTTGATATGGTGTTACACATACTCATTTTGAGCTGTTGCCTTCATGTTCATTATACTATCATTCTCTAAAGGCATATTTCTTTCTCTTTTTTTGTCTGTGTCACTATCATTTGAATCTATGTGCCATCCATGCTTCCCACATTCTCTTTCACTCTACTTCCTATTCTAGTCAGACCGGGCCTTTCTTCATAAGACCTCAGCAGCTCTGGTAGGTGATTGTTCTTTTACATTTTGTTAACTGTCTTATTCTTGCAACTCACTTTCACTAACCCATGGATGAGATTCTTCAAGCTAGCATGTGGATCAATCTGCACATGTTAGTCTCCCATTATCTTCATCATCTCGCTGTTTTGTCTCCTGTGGGATTTTGACTCCCTCCAGTTACTGTTCTTCAATACAAATATGCACCATCTTTCAGAAAATTAAGTACATTTACTTTTTATCATGGAAAAAACTGGCACCAAGGAAGTGACTGCCCACTTCTTTGGCTTTTACTTGCCAGTTTTTAAATATAGGGTTTCATAGTCACCCATTACACTGTTGCCAGTAAAAGACATTTCTGGAAGGTGGCCAATGGGGATCCGGGCACTTCTTCAAGTGCAGCATGGAAGACCGTTGCTGCTTACCAGCTAGCTGTGAGGGTGACATACCTTGAAGAATTCCTCACTGACTGTGTGCAGCATAATACGATGGGAAGTAGGATGGTGGTGGCACTGTCTGCGTAGTGTGGGTCATCCTTCAGTTAGGTAGTGTGTTCTCCTCCTGCAGCAAGATGGGTTCGTCAGACACACATCATACAATCTGATTATGCCCTAACCACACTACACTTCTTGGCTTGTCAACCACCTGTGTGCAGGTGCTCAGTTGATCATGCAAAAATTCAGCATATCTCTGCGACACTTGGGGCACTTTAGTCTTTTCCTTTCTTTCCTTCTGGGCAAAGAGTATACCCTGGTTGAGACAAGGTGTGGCATCCCACTGGTGTGCCCCTGTAGAATCCTTTGCCACCGGGTGCCACAGTCCAGGGGCTTTCCCTTCTGTCACTTTCTGAAGGAACTTATGTAAGTGTAATGATTGCACCAACTTCTCCACCATTTCAGTGTGGGATTCTACCTGTTATGTGTGAAAAAGGTGATTTATTGTCTCGGAGGATAATATTTTCCTTACCTGAAAATATATTTCTAATAGATAAACATGTCCACTCTACACACTTGTCCTTCCCACTTCTAGTGCAATTTCTTCTAGCCTCATCTAACAATGAGGCTATTTCAAACACAAATGCTTAGGGGGAGCTACTGCACAAGGAGGTTGTATCACTCTCCTAATAGTGGAGGGCTATTGTTGCATGATGATGTCATCATGCACTATTGCAGTTCACATTAAACATGCTTTTTAGGAGGGAGTTAGTCCAAGGCTAGTGGCATGCAAGTCTCATAGGCAGGATTAAGCTATTCTGTGTGAAGTGGTGTCTATCTGTCAGAAATGCATTTCAGTTAAGGAAAATGTTAACTCCTACTCAACATAAAAGAAAATTGAAATTCTAAAATGAAAGGAAGTATTTTGAATGTTTTATAAAAACTGTCTCTCATAACAAAATTTTGAAAATTTCCCTGCATAAAATATTTTAGAAAAATGTTTTCAAATTATTGGCCAATTGCTTAAGCTGAAACCAGATACTATTTAGTAAGTTTGTTCTAAGTTTCATGCAATTAGTTTAAGTGTTTCCACTATAAGAAAAAAAATTAAAGGTTATTGGTGACAATTCTCTAGTCATGAAAGGATTAATAAAGACTTGTGTGTAAGATAAGACTCAGTGTATTGTGCATTAGATATTTATGTATATGTTACTTTAATATAGACTGAAAATTTGGAAGTACTTAGAGAGTTAAATGTGTTTAGAAGTTGATTTTAAATGTACCATATACTTTGTGTGTGTGTATAAAATATATCCATACAAGTGTTTGTACTTACCAGGGGGTAGGAGATTAGTGGAATTTTCTAATTGATTAGTAATCAGGCTCTTTAATCAGCTACACTTAACAATCATTCTCACATGAGATAGCCAAAAAAAAAAGTCTAATCTACTTGCTGTGACATTGTAAAAGCTTGCCAAAATAGAGTTCTTGAAATAGTCATTGAGAGAAAAAGAAAGTCACATGAAAAACAAAACCTTTGATAAGTCTGTTTCTAAGGGTGAATATAATTGTATAATTTGAATGGGTGATATTCCTAAGAACTATGCAGAGGTCAAAGTTAAAACATTTGCAAACTTTCAAGATATCAATTCTTAGATATTTTTGAGTAAAAAAATTGTTGAAATAAAGTTAGAATTATTATTTTTACTTAAATTGTGAAATTTTTATACAAGCATGCTCTCTCAACCCTGGAGAGCTGCCCACTGACCTTAGTGTGTACAGTGTATATGAATATTATTGTGCATATGCCAGTAGTTATTTAAGCTCAGAAGTCTTGAATGGAATGGGATGTTCAGGTACTGTATTCTGTTTGAAGTATTATAATTTCTGGAAACCTGTTTCATTTCTCCGTTCTCATGACTCTGCATGACTTGTCAATTTTTAACATTCAGATAGTATATAGTTCTTCTATAGTACATATGCCTTGTATGATATACTGTTTATAAATTTTGAAATGATAATTTTCATTTACCTTTCAGCACAGAAGAGCTTTTCTGAAATGATTAAAAATCCAACCATTATTGATTATTCTTCACCAGCAAGTAGAGCAAAGAAAAATGTCCAAAGAACACCATCAGTAGATACTGAATCAAAAAATGCAAATTTAAGTGATACTGCAAATAAAGTATCTCCAGAAGTTACATCGACTCCTGTAGAAATAAAGAAAGAGGGCGTTGAAAATGAAAATTCTTGTAAAACAACAAGCACAGATGGTACAACAGCACATTTCAAAACCGTGTCTAAACATGAACTTAACAAAGGGGGCACTAAAAGGAAACGTTCAGCATCGTCTGTAGACAATGAAAGTAGAGGTGAATTTTTGCTATTGTTATTATTTTATTGTTTTGCTTGCATTTCTGTTGATCTGTAGAACTCTTTTGGTAGACCTCTGCTTGATAGGTTTTTCATGTATTATTGTGTTAATTTGCATAAACACATTGTGATTTGGAACTTGAAGCTGTAAGAGTAAATGTTGTAATATTTCAACTAGGATAATAAAGTCTAACAACTTTCGAATTCAAGTTTTTATAAAAGTAGGAATAACTTTTTTGTATTATATTCCATTTGTGTGGGTTATTTTTATAACATTCCATTCAATTATATACTAATTGAACACATAGTTTGGTGTTTTGTATTTTAGTTTTAATAAGTTTCATTGTTTAAAATAAGAGTGCATTTACTTTATTAAACTTTTTTGTTGTTCTTTATAAGATGCTTATTCTAAGAATTTGTGCCAAAAATGAACTGTAGAATATTTAATGCACACATAACATTATAAAAATATGATAGATTTTAATAACTTTCACTCTTTGATGATAACAAATCATATTTTCAGCTTTAACAGCAAGAAATAGTGATTGATATTCAAACTTTGGTGAAGTAGTTTAATATATAGACTTTGTGATCCAAAGTGTTTCTTCATTTATATTACATTCTCAAATATATGTATGTATGTATAAGGACTATGATTCACAGCTATTTTATATACATTAACAGAAATGCATAGTTTATTTTTTTATCCATAGAACAAGAATTTTGTCATCAAGAAATGATGTTCAGTGAATGTTATAATCAAACAAGTGAAATGACACCAAACAGTTTGTTTTCACATTCACATTGTGAAAGTCAAAGTAGGTTAATATGTAAATACTCCATGATCTGAAGTGTTGGCTGTCTACTGGCTTTCTACATGCTAGAGCCTACAGTTGGATAGAGGACTTTGCTTGTTTTGCTGTAGTTTGTTGTTTCAAAAGTCTATATGTGTAATTGTCCTTGATGTGAATGAGGTTGTAAGGGTTCAACAGATAGAACTTTTGAAGCAAAGGAAGCAAAGTCCTCTGTCAAACTATATGCTTTAAGATGTAATATGAGTGAAGAAACACTTTGGATTATTAAGTCTATACAATAAATTACTTTGACTTTCATTCTGTTTTTCTCACTAGTGTGAATATGAAAATAAGTTGTGTTTAGTGTCCTTTTCCTTGTTTGATTATAATGCTCACTGGACATCATTTTTTAATAATAGAAACCTTATTTTCTGGATAAAATATACATTTCTAAGCACGGTAGTGATTAGTATGTAGGGATGGGCTGGGAAAAAAATGGCTGCTACATGTTATTTATTGGTCATCATAGTCTCAAATCTCTTTCAGAACAATCTAAGATACTTTTATAAACACCTAACTTAGGTTTTTGAGGTTTTCAAAAGCTACTAATACCTTCAATTTGGGTAAAAAAAAATACTTTGTTTCTGTACTTTTTGGCATTGCCATTCTAACATCATCCTTATTTTTTCAAAATATTTTTATTACTTGTATCTTTAGAATGTGTCCTTATTACCTAATATATCATTATTACAGCTTTGTCAAGAGTTACTGGATAATATTCAAGTTTGTTAATCCAGTTGAAACTAAATTCAATGATTAATGAACTTGTAGCTTATCAATAACTCGTTATCAAGCTTTAATAATGAAACATTGAAGTAATAAGGAAACATCCTGGAAATATAGGTCGTTACTTTATTCACATCAATAGAAATGTCTAGTAATAAACTGCAGTTTGCTTTAAACAAAGCTTAAGAGTTTTTGTTTGTTTGTGATTTATGAAACTATCCCTCTTAAAATTTCAATTTTAGTTGGATACTCAACATACGTTTAGATTTACATCAGCCTTGTTAGGAAATGATGACATATAAATATGCATATAAAAGTGTACTTAAACATTCATATTTGTCTAACTCACAAGTAGTTTGCATTTAGTTGATTACATTTGGTGAGCAAACAACAAATAATAATTTAAGAAAGTTTTTCTGGAACTTTGCAAACCCTTACTTACCATGCCTTATAAAATAGATTGTAATTTTGACTTTTTTTTTTGTACATGTTAAAGCAAACATTTTAATAGCATAGTTTCCAGTTTATGCACAAAATAAAACTAGTAAACTTGTGGTTGGTCACAGTTGAATTTTATGTCTATATATATGTGTGTTTCTATTTTAGAATTTTTCAATAATAATTGATTTAGTAGTTGGTTTACATCAGTTGTTAGGTCTTGTTGAGATTGACTTACAAGCAAATAATACTATTTCTTGGATTCTTCACTAAACTGTTTGTCCAAGCGATTGGCTAGGCAAATGTGAACAACCTTGTACCAGTTTTCATGTGTTTCTTTCTAATGTTAGAAGGTTGTGTAATGGTTCATTATGAGTTGAAAGGGGTGATAAACTGTATGGATGAGATCATTTTGCCTAACTAGAGGATATCAAACATTAGGCCTAAAATATAGTGAATCATACATTAACATGTCGAGCTACTACTTTTGTGTTTTGATCATTTTAGATATGTTTAATACTATGTATTCATCATTTCAATATACCTTACTAACTAATGTAATATTTTTCTTTTTGCAGATACCTAATTAAATCATATGAGTATACAATATCTTAAAAACTTGTTATCATCATAAAAAGTTTACTTTCTTGGTCTAATTTTGTTTTAACATCAGTAAAAAAGCTATAGTTATTAAGAGTTTTTCATGGTCTGGTGGTAGGGTGCTCAACTCACAATTTGTAGATCATGGGTTCAAATCCTATAACTGAACATGCTTGCCCTATCAGCTATGGGGATGCTATATATATATGATAGTTAATCTCACTTTTCATTTGTAAAGAGTAACCCAAGCTACATTCTATCTGGTCTGTCACTTCTAAATTAGGGACAGCTTGCAAAGATAGCTTATAAGTATTTTAGTGTGAATTTCTACCAACAAACAAATTAATTGTTTTTTGTTTAATAGCAATTTTCCCAAGAACACCAACAAGAGTAGAAGAAAATGTGGAATTTCCAAAACTAGAAAATGAGTCTTATAAGAAACCTTTTCAAAATGGTAAGTAATGATGAAAATAAGTCTTGTGTAAATTGTTTTGAAGATTTATAAGAGTTCTTTTTAAGGATTGAATTAGGCCTTGCACAAAAATATATGGTCATTTGTTGTCTTTTTCAGTAAACAAGCAAAGGTCCCCACTACAAGAGCAACATTTTATTGTTGACTTCACTGGGATAGTATATGTCATTTACCCTGCAGGTGTACTGAGTATTTGGCATAATATTTTCTGTAAATTCGCTCCTATTGATCAGTTTCTTCATATTACTGTTATCCAGTGCTTGAAGTGAGAGGAGAAGGGAAAGTGAGATAATTTCTAAATTTTTGAAGCTGAGTACTATATTTCTTGTTTTTCATGCATATTCATTATTTATTATTATAAAAGTAACTAAAATGTAAAAATCAGAAACTTATTAGGTTACATAAGATTAGATTAAGTACGATAATAAAAAACAAAATTCTTCATGAGATACACTTGCAAGCAGCTTGTGCATTACATATGTTCACCAAGTGATAAATAACAGCTTGTGTGGTGGGATTATTAGTCAGACACAGTTCAAAGGACAATATTAAGTATAAGCAGATGTATATTGTTATGAGGTATAGTATGGAAACTCTGGCTATGAACTCGATCACACTGACTAAGCACTTAGCAAGAGACTCATTTGTTCCATCAGTGTACTACTTTGTCTCATTCTTACATGACATTTTAAGGAAAAAAAGTATAGTTTCTCTCCCCAATCCCTTGCTGCTGTAAATATTTATTGCATCCTCTATTGAAACTTTCCCTTCTGAGAACTTATGGTCTACTAAAAGGAAGGGGGATGATTTTGGGCCATTCTGAAAAGTTGGTGTTATCCTCTCTCATCCCATCTCACTTCAAGCAATTACTGTTATCTCTTCAATAATACAACTTGTACTTCTACATGTCTTGGAGATCTGGGCTCTCTCCAGGAACTTCTGAAAATTTCATATAGATACAAATTTGGGAAGTAGGAACTACAAAATTAAAATGTGAGACAACTTTTAAAAAAAGAGGAAACATTGCAAAATAACTCATTTTCGAATCTCTCTGGGTCATTTTCAAGAATCCTAGAAAGTTTTGTGGTAATCAGAAATTGTAAAGCTAGAAAAATTTAAAGACAGGCAGGCAGACAGATAATATTGAGATGCAAGCCACTTTATATTCTATATAAAATGTCTAAATTGTTATTGTTAGCTTTTTTTATTCATAAAATCAGTCAGTATGAAATTATCTTCACAAACTGAAGCCATCTTTGGAAATACTTGAGAGAGAATTAGCATTCTACTTTACTGATCATTTGTATTGTTTAGATTATTTATTACTGATATGTGTTATGTAGTAGGTAGCTGCCATAATCTTGTATGATCACTAAAACTAAATGAATAACTAACTTAAAATTATTGTTAAAAAATAATTCAAGTTAAAATTAAATATAATTTTGTCTGTTATTATGCAAAAAACTCAAAGAATAACATCAAACTTTTATTTACAATTGATACACTTCAACTGAAAAGATAGTAAGTACTACTAATTAACTACTTAAACATTTTGTGTACCTTATATAAAAGGGTAATTAGTTGTATAATCGTGCTACTTGTATAATTATAGGATGGAAACGAGAGATTGTATTCAGAGCAATTGTAGAAGGCAAGGTACAGACCAAAAAGGGAAGGATGGCTGATATATACTATTTTGCTCCAACAGGCCAAAAATTGGTAATGTTGATATTTGTTCTAGTCTGGATGAATATTTTTCTTTCTGCATTCTGAATACAGTGAACATATTAACAATGGAAGAAATAATATCCCAGCATTGTGATTGTTGCTCAAAATTGGTGTTAATCTGTGCGTCATGACAGTAGTGTTATGGATACAGTGTTACCCCTTCCCTCCCAAAATAAAAAAAGCATCATATTGTTAGTTGTAGAAGATTTATTTCTAGTTTATCGTATTTTTCAAAATTGATTCCACATGATATTTCAGCTATTAAGACTAATTATAATAGTGAGTGTGACAGTACTAAACAACCAAGAAAATAAGCTTCTGGTGTGTGTTAAATCCTTGAACTAGTAAATGTCCTGGTAGCTTGGCTGACTTTGCCCAACTCCGTCATCAACATAAGATATTCATGACATCTGTGTGTCCTGGTGTATCTAAGTTATGTGATTGTATGGTGGTGAATATTTGGCAAATATATATATTTTCCCCATTTCTGAATTAAGCTGCTAAAAGTTTTTTTCACACTGTCAAGTGTAGTTGTCATATCTCTCTTTATGTGGTGAATGTTTAGCAACACTTTTTTTTTCAATATTTCTGAACCAAGTTGCTAATACAAATTTTATCACTGTCACATGTAATCATACCTCTATGTGTTTATTACTGTCACATGTAATCATACCTCTGTGTGTTTATCACTGTCACATGTAATCATACCTCTGTGTGTTTATCACTGTCACATGTAATCATACCTCTATGTGTTTATCACTGTCACATGTAATCATACCTCTATGTGTTTATCACTGTCACATGTAATCATACCTCTATGTATATCATGTTTTGCAACCCTCTTCTTTTTTTCTGAAACAAGCTACTAATTTTTTATATTTCTTTCAGTGTCAGGTATAGGTATACCCATCTGTTTGCAAATCCTAACTCATCCTTTAAATTTTGCAGCATTATGTCACAGTTTTATTGCACAGTTCCCTTTATTTTTGACAACTGGATCTGATATTCTATGCTTCTATTTGACATGACATACTAGAGTATTAATTTTATCATGATCCATGGACCCTTTGTTGAAAACAGATATACTAAGTTTGATGCTGAATAATAGAACTCTTCTATACATAGCTTTTTTTTTTGGACTAGCTCCTACTTTTTTGTACTTAATGTTTAAATGTTTACCAGAATAAAATGGGTAGTTGTTATTCAAGTTATAAAGCCCAAATATTCTTATTGAAGTTTTAAGCCTAAAATTAAGTTGGGTCATTTTTCCAAAAATAATACCAGTTGGTGGTATTTTATCTTTAACATTTACAGTTACGCATTTTATATTTATCACTGTCCAGTCACTTTCAATACAGTGTGAACATTAGAATGAAATTTGTTTTGAAAATCTTGTTTGAGTTACAAAGTTATATGGTAGTTAAGATTTTCACAAGTTTTTTAATCCAAGGTATTTCTTGGGAAAGCAAGTTTCCAAATCTAGAATCTATCACAAAATTTCAATTTCCCACAACTTCATTGCTTGTAGGTTTTGAAATTTATTTCTGAGTGAGTCTAAACTACAAAAGAAATAAATTTGAACAAGTACTGATTTTGGCTGGATGTGAAACTTGCTCTCTAAAATACTTTTCTTGATATAGTTGGTGCATCTTTTGTACATCAGGTTATGTTGGTAAAAAAGTTTCATACAAAATTATATTAATAAAAAATACTTCCTGTTCATTATCCACCAAATATAACTATCATGTCTTGATGGATGCATCATACCTTGGGGAAAAATTACAGAAAAGAAACTCAAGTCATTCTTCTACACTTTAAAAAAGAAGAAAAAACTTAATTTTTCGATTGATTTCAACAAGCCCCAAACTAAATTTCTGATTATGAGTAGAGCTGGGCAACTAATTTTATTTCTTGTCATAATATATTACCTATGAGCATTGATTAGTGTCATCATCTAAAATAATTGATTAGTCCAAATTATGATTAAATCAATTAATGTCATGAAATTAATCAACTAGTGTTTCCAGTTATTACTGTTTTCAATTATTCCAACTATCCAGTAATTAAAATCATGATTAAATAAATTAATGTTATGAAAGTAATCAACTAATTAAAATTAATGTTTTCAGTGGTCCCAACTATCCAGTAATCAAAATTTTGCCATTATAATATTTCATTATTATTTTTGATTAATTCAAATTTGCTTAATCGATTAGTGTCATGACTCCAGAAATGTCATGAAATGAAAACTAGGTTTTCTAATTAATACTATTAAGCACAAAGCTAAAAAATAAGCAATCTGTGCTTTGCCCACTGTGGGTATTGAAATCCAATTTTTAGTTTGTTTTGTTTTTTAGTCAACTCATGCAAGAATAATTGATTAGTAGAAAGAAATTGAATAATGCACTTGAGGATTAATTAATTAGCAAATTCCACTAATTTCCGAGCTATATTTATGAATTTCCTAAATTTTTCTCTGAGCACTTGTAACTTCCTTAGAAGAAAGTCATCATACTTTGAATAAAATAGTACAAATTTATCCTTGTAACTTGAAAGAATTGTTGACTTTTAGTCAATCATCGTTTCTCAACATCACTTGTCGTAGTGTGATATAACTGCCTATAGATAGTCCAGTTTCAATAAGTCATAGGCTTGTGGTCGAAACATTTCTTTTTAACTCTAGAAGCCATTATGGCTTTTAGTACAGTGGAGAGTCATATATAGATCAGAACAGTGTAATAATATCTTAGCTTGATGATACATTGTTAGAAAAAATTAGTCATGGTTTTGTTTTTTAAAGGTTGCTTATACACTTTATTTGAATTATGATGTTGCATTATAATAGGATAATAAATGATTATTGTGGAACAAAATGAAATAAGCTTAGTTAAGTCATTTTGCACATGACTTTATCAAGTTTCATTTCACAAGTGAGGCTGTTGTGTTAGGCATTGTTTACATTTAACCTTGACAGCTTAACCAGTTGCTTGTATGTATAAAGAAATCCAATAAAAAAAAGAAATGTAGAAAAAATATACACATAAATATACACATTTTATATAAATATAAAACAGGCTTAAAAACTTATTACATGTAATAAGTGAAACTTGATTAACAATTCATTAGTTGACTAATGAGTGGCCATTTCAGTGCAGAATGAAATGAGGAACCTAAGTTGTGACTGCAAGTGCTGAATCCTATAGTGGTAAAAGCCAGACTAATTAAGAAAACATTCATTAATATTCATGAAAATTGTTATTTAATTATATAGGACTACTAACTTATGGTTGCATTGCTCCAATAATCAATTAATAATTGATCATCAGTTAGTAATGCCCAACCAATTACCTAACATGATTTTATAACAATTTCCCACCTCTGGAGATTATAACTATATCCTTAGTAGGCTTCATTCCAGTATTTGCTTAGCACTTATAATTGATTGTTTTATACATAAAATAGTTTTGTGTGCTTTTTTTTTTCTACCTGTGACAAAGAAAATTTAATAAGTTATATCCACCACAGATGCATTAACTGTGTTTTCTTTAATACAAAATCTTATCTCACATTGCTGTCTTTCCAAGTGATGGATACTGTGTGGCAAAGTAATCTAATGTGTTTAACAAAAAGGGCTAAAATATTTGGAACATGCAAGCTGATAAAACATACATGTTTCATTTTCCTTAAGTTAGTGTAAGTCTAATGTTATTAATAACTGTCATTGAAAACATAATTGCACTGTGGGGAATTGGAACAATTTTAGCTTTCCAATGTGAAATACAGAATCACCAGATGGCTTTCTGTAGTGAAAAATATACTTTTTTTTGTGGACAGTAAATGGTAATTGTGTAACTTTGACTTGTACAAACCATTAACGTTGTCTCATGTAATACTGGTATTTTTTCATTGCCCACATGTATGAAAAATGTTGAAAAAAACAGAAGTTGTTATTGAATGTGTTTTATCAGTTAAAGATAAATGTTACTTTTCTTTATTACATTAACTGATTTTTAATTTCAGAGATCCGTAAAAGAAGTGGAAATATTTAGTAAGTATGACTTTTTAAGAACTTTACACACAATTTTTTTGAGAGAGAATGAGAAAGTAAGAAAAGTTACCCTATAAATATTAATAATTAATAGGATGATAGGGTATTCTTTGTTTTTACCAACATTTATATTATGGACAATGAAACATTACTGTAATTTACATATCACTGAAGTAATACAGATGTTTGGTATATGTGTGTGTGTAGATAACCTCTACAATATATATTAAGTAAAAGTGTTTCTTGAAGTAGAAATTAAACTACACACTGAAACATTAAATTTATCATTTAGTCCTAAAAAATGTGAAATAGCTTAATTTCTTAAATTAGTAATTCTTCTCTTTAGTATCTTTGTCTTTGGTTACTAGCTTTTAATAACCTCCCTTATTCAGGATGCCATATGTCTAGCAACTTTGATTGTCAATAATAATTTTATTTAGCAAGACTTCTCTATACTCAAATTTTACATAATTGTAGAAAAATAACACAACACATAGTCAATATCTTCTTACATGAGTCTTTTCTTCTTTTTTGTTATGCAGGTTGGTCAGTGTGTGTTTGCATGAAAATGTAGAAAAAAAACATTGAAAACTGTTTTTACTGAATCATTAGATAATTTGATACTACACTTGCTTTTTCATGATTTCATTCACCTTGAATTCAAGTCAATTTGTGCACTGCTTTAAGCGAAATGCAAGGATCAATTGTGCAATAGTTGCTAAATTGGGAGCTGGTGTAAAGTAAACTAGACCAGATATTGATGAATCTAGTGTTAACCCAACTGACATCAATGATGTATGTCAATAGGTTTGGTATCAAGTTGTAGATTATAATTCAAATTTTAGTATTATACATTAGTTAATAATGTATATATAAAACTAAAAAAGTTATTTTGTTTCACATTCTCCATGTGTGAAATATGATAAGGTTTTGGCAAGCAGCAAACAAGTACAAAGTTCATAACTAGAAGCGATAATTGTTTGCTATACTTCTTTATTTATTGTTCTATGTTTTAAGAAAAATAAGGTTAAGAACTTATTTGTAAATAGTAATAATGTATATACATATACAATGTATCATAACTGAAATGTGACTGTATTTTACAAAATACTAGTCCACTAAAACACAGTCAAGATAGGTCACTTTGTAAAGGCCAGTCTTATATTATTAGATATGATAACATGAGTGCACGTGTACCGCGTTATTGCAACTTCTGTAATGTTAGCCAAGCATGGCTGAAAGGTTAGTATAATAAAAATAATTTTCTGGTTTCCAAAAATAGCAACAGAAGAGTTGGAGACACCGATAACCTAATGAAACTATTGCTTTGCTCTCACATTTACTCACTCCTCACAAGCATTTTGTCATTTAAAAAAAATTATTATAAAAGGTAAAGAAAATATAATGTTGATTTTGCTGTTTTCACTTGCAAAAATTATTTTAATATGGGGGGGGTGCAACAGAAACTTTGCTGAGTTAGGGGGGACACAACTATTTAATGCTTGGGAAACTCTGGCCTAAGTAGATTTTGATTTAGAATCCGATACACCAGTAAACTTATTCAAACATATAATTTTTTTTATATAAGTAATTTAATTTCTTTACCACTGATGTTTTTATTGCAGTATCAGTTTCATGTATAATAAATAAGTCTTTAAATTCTGTAAACTAGTGTACAGGAAAAGTAGATAAAAATTGTTATTTGTTCTAAAATTTTCTAATGCCCATGTAATTAAAAAACTAAGTTTTATTCATACATCAATGGCCATGTGAAAAACAGTAATTATACTTTTTTATGAATGAAAAATGGAATAATCACAGATGATTTGAAGAATACAAAATAATATATTGTATTCTGTCCGTAAATAATATCAAAACTTAAAGTAATTTTTTGAAAATTTATAACCGCTCTGTAAAATTCTGCCATTGCTAATCTACTTACAAAAAAAGTGTATTTATATTTTCAGTTTAATTCTTCTTTGTAAGTATATTTTTATGTATGAGCTTGACTAATTACCTGTGCAAAATATCTATATCTATTGGAGGGCAAAAAGGCTATGTTAAGATGTCTGCTATTAGTACCTGCTTAGTTAAGACAAACAATTTTAAGTAGCTTTATTTAACTGCTCCTCTAAAAATTTGTTTAAATTTCTGTTGCAGCTCAAAAACTGTACAGAGTCTTTAGTGGAGTAGTAATTTTTTCATTTTGTTCAGCTTACTTTTCATGGGTAACATTATTAGTTTTTGCTTTGTTATTGTCCTTTTAGTGGAAAAGAATCCTGATCATCAGCTACCTATGACATACTTCACATTTGGTAAGTACTCAGTTTATCATGAGCCTTTTGAGGTGCAACGACTAGCCAATTTCAAATCAAAAACTCCGGAAGTACATTCTTCTGACCAAACCCCTATCCCCAAAAAGAAAGTATCTACTCCAAAAACTCCAGAAACTAAAACTTCAGTACCTGTTGTAACAGACACACCAAAAAAACCATCAGATAATATTCCCACTTCTAAAGGAGAAAAGAGACGGGGTCCAAGAATTAAGTATACACCCAAACGGTTTAAAGAAGATGTGCCTTCACCAGAGTTGCAAAAACCAGCACCACCTCTAACAAAAGTCCAGACAGTTACAACTACAAAATCTGACTCCAGCAAAAGTGAGCAGACTGAAGTTAAGAAGCAAGTAATTGCAAAGAAGAATGAAAATGTAGAAATGAAGAAGCAGAACAGTCAAAAAACCTATTCACTGTGAGTATTGTTTAGTGATCTTAACCTTCTGTGACTTAAATGATATTAACTTCTGAATTAGAATTAACCATGTTTTATAAGTACTTGAATAGCATTATGTACATAAATGTACCTTTTCCAAAATTGATACATAACTATGTATGGAAATCTTTTCTTAAGATGATACATTTATACACTGACTGCAAATAAAATCTCATGTTTACAATGATTATATCTTATAAACTACTTGTCTTAGGGGAAACAGAATTTAAGATGTAGTCATGTTGACCCCAATGTGCACAGCTACGTCAAAGAGTGCACATCACAACCTTTTTTATAGTTATGTTCAAAATTTAAGTAAACAACTTTTTTATCAATGTATGTTAATAAACTTGACAGTCAAACATAGTTTATAATTAAAAGGTTTTGTATTATCTCAGTTTCATCTCTTAACTTAAAAAAGAAAATACTTAGATAAATTCTTAATTTTCTGTGTTTCATGTGATGCAAATGAAGAAAATCTAAAAAAGAATCAGAAGAGAGACCCTTCTGATTCTTTTTTAGATTTTCTTCATTCCCTTCTAATATTTTCCAAGAGGTCAACCAATTAGAAACTCAAATTATTGATATTGGCAGACCAGAATATAAAATTTAAACCTCCCACCATCTTGAATTATTGAGATATAAGTAAATTTGTGACACCCACCATTGAGTCCCTTCCTATCTTGTCATATCTTTGAACGTATTTATCAGTAACACATGGCTTTTATAGGCATGTCTAAAAACCATTTAAAAGAGACTTTCCTCTCCTACAAGAATCTACTGATAATGTATTTTTGTACAGTTGTAGATAGTTTACTCCAGATGGTTTGTGTGTAATTGTTGTTATTGAGCTCAGATATTTAACAGAATTTTAAAGCTATTTTTACCTTAATTAGAAAGCCAGTTGAATTATATTAGTTTTAGGGATTTCTATTCTAGTATCTGGTATGTTTTGTGTTCTTATTTGAATAAAGTACTAAGTGCAACAATGAAATCATAATTTTATGGAAAATAGATGGTTAACAATTGAATCCTTGAAGATAACTACATTAAACAAGAAGAAAAATGGTATTGTTCATTTAATTTCTCTTAGGAGATTCTAGAGGATATATATAAATGAAATATGAAAGCTGTAAAATGAAAAAAGGGTTTTTATTCTCATCATGATAATCACTATGCACTCTTACTAATTCAGAGTTTGAGTTGGGTTAACTTAGTAAGTTCAATGTCTAATCTTTAGTAAAAATAATTTATTAAAAACTTGATTTTTTCTATACAACAGACTTGTAATGTTTTCTTAAAACTTACCATATTTCATGAAGATATGTGCAGTAAATTCAGAATTATAGTTAATATTACTATGTTTAGCTTCAGAACTATGACATTGGTCTAATGGGACAACCCTGTACACACAGGATTAAATAGGGAAAAGTTTGTGTTGTGCCATGCTTTTGCTTGAAGAAGATTGTGATTAGTAACAGTATGAACTCCCACACACTTGACACTGATAAAAACAAAACAAAAGTGGCATAACCTGCTCATGAAAACAAGTACTGGCTAAGTGGTAACAGCAATATTTTCTATGCTGCAGGCTAACCAATTTGAAGATGGATTCTACTGAGGCAGTTTTATGCTCTCTTCATTGTGTGGGTCGGAATGGTCAACTTCCTTCCCTTCACTGTGGAGTGTGCCTGTGTCTCTTCCATCCAGAATGTGTTGGTGTTGCTCCCACATCTCGTCCTTCCATTTTCATTTGTCAGGTGATTAGTTTTCTCTGTATTTTGAGCTTCCTTTAACTTATTATGGAATTCTACACATTAAAAGAAATATTTAACATGACTTTTTGGAAACTTGGTAAAAACATATTTAGGAATATAGTTGTTGTTTTTTTGTGTGTAAATAAAATAATGTGATGATGCAAAAATGTCACCAAATTCAGAACTTCTACATGGCTCATGCTTAACTTCTTTTTTTAGGGAGCCAGCTGGACTCCCAAAACATGCATTTTTAAGGGCCAATCATATAGCTCATTCATTGTAAAATGTACTCAATATTGGAGGTTATCAGTAAAATAACTGAATTAAATAGTGGATGTTACATAAATTGAAAGGAAACTAAAGATATCACTATATCTCAATTTATTTTGTTGTGAACTCATATTTCATGAAAACAAAAACAAGTCAAACCATTTTATTTACTCTACTTAAATGATTTATATACACACACACACACACACACATACATACATACATACATACATACATAAGAGGCTAATGTCTATCTGTCCACAAAACTTTTCCCACAGTTTAAGTCAGACTTGGATGAAAGTTTGATTACAGTTGGGTCTCTTATAAAAAGTTTATTTTGTGTAACTTGATCTTTGTAAGTTACACACATATTTATTTTACTTCATTATGAGTATAAAGTGATGAAAAACTGATGCCAAAAATTGCCAAATGGAAAAGTGACTTATCATGGAGAAAGTCTGAAACTTAGAGAAAAAAAATGAAATGTCAGGAATCAAGTTACAGAAAGAAAGAGGTAGGCTTGCTCACCAAGTTATGAGGCAAGATCCTTGAGAAGAAGCCAGGAACAAACCCAAAAATATAGAAGCACACCATTCAGCTCACCAAGATCCTGACCAAACAGTTGCCCATAGGCCGACATTTCTGCTAGTTTCATATATAATCTTTAATTTCTCTCTAAAGCGTGATATAACAGTAACTTTTTACTCCACTTTAAAGTTGTGTTCTGTAATAGTCAGAATAAATAATTAAAGAAAATTGTCAGAATTTGAAATATATAATTTATCTTTTTTATTAATTGTCAAAATAAAAAGGCTTTTAGTTATATTTCTTAATAGTATAAATATATACTATGTTGTTGTTGGGCTTAGGATTCTTCTACAGTTGGTGTATGTGACCTATTAGCGATAAATTCAATGATAAATAAACAGCACGTACATCACTTGTTTTGAAAATAATATATATATTCGGAACAAGTTAAACGTACGTACAACAAATTATTCAAACTATAGAGATTATAGGCATATCATAAACACTATATATTGTTCTCTTCTTCTTCTCAAAAGTCCACTTAGGCCTATTCAATTACTTTAGAATTTCAGTTAACAAGCCGAACTATCTTCTCTGTTACTATGGCACTAGTATTCTGTGTGTGATTCACTTACAATTGTGGCATAAGTTACTGTAATCATTTGGTTTTCTCTCTTCTGAAGATCCTCTGCTTCTTTTGTCAAAGTGCACTCTGGCTGATTCAATTACTTTAGAACCACGCTTTGATGGAATAAATTATTTTTCTTATCTCCTTTTCTACTGTTAGTCTTACTCTAACATATTAAATGTTAAGCCTATATCAATCATTAGGCCTATTACTTCTACAGTACTTAACTTCACATCGAACATTTCCTTGGCCTGAAACTTTACTTTTTCTTTTTTTATCTGTCTGCTGCTTCCTGCTCATCTCACACTATTTATATCTTTATCACCTAATCGTCTGTCTGCCTTCTATATTCTCGACATCAATGTATTGCACACGACATTCAATAGTCTCAACATGAATGAATTATTTGCAAAACTTTCTACAACTGTTTGCTTTTAACTCTTTATTATAACAAAAACTAAACAGTAATAAAATATTCACCCACAAAAACAAATCAATCAATAACATCTAAACTAAACAGACTTTTATATCATGACAAAAATCTTTGCATGACTGTCAGTGTAACCTATTCTTGTTCCCATACAACTCATTACTATCTAGCTGACACATTTGTCAATAAAATGTGAAACACTTTTGACGGAGGGATATAAAAATCATACCACTTACATTACCACTAAATTTATACCAATCAATTCTTTCATATCCAGAAACAGCTATTAATTAGTAGTTCATGAATTTTTTATAAGTGAAAGAGAGGTTAAAAAACAATATTCTGCACATTGCAAAGCACACCCATTTCTTTACGGACTGTACATTAGCAAATGATCAATAACAGCACCTGATGCTCAAAGCTAATACACACTGTGTGTTTGCTGGAGTTCTATGCAGACTTTTCCCACAAAGTTCTCGGGATGATATGGCATGTGGCTCTGCATTAGTACCACACTGTGTTTCAGCTCATTGTGTAGGGAGGTTGCTGAAGAGTTTCTGACAACAGAATGATTGGAAATTATGAATGTTCCATTACTTTTCAATAGGGATTTTTTGTCAATTGTTTGAGTTGAGCATGTCACTGTAAGATGTCACTTGAGAGTCCAGTTATTTATGAATATGCGTGGTTCCAAGAACTTACCTTAAAGTTAGTTGTGACTCAACAAACGTGAGTTCTGATTGGTTGGATTGCTTCTGAATGAGAAAAACTTGATATTTTGGGGTTTTTTTTGAGGTGGAAGTAATTTGGTTGAAAAACAAGAATCATGAAGGTGGTCAATTGTTGTACCCGACTGACTGTTGCACCTGTAACTAACAGGAGAGTTGAATACGTCTTTATTGACAGTAAAAGCTAATATTTTGGGATCTTAGACAAATGGCAAAGTGAAGTAGTGTAAATGCTGAGATTTGAAACATGCGTGTAGAGCCAGGAGGAGATAAATTTTAAATAATTCAACCAGCACGATGTTGGTCTTCTTTATCATAATGTATTTAAAATTGTCATTTCTTTTTTTAAAATTGAAAATTGGATCATTGCATATGCAATAAAGATACAATTAGGAGCATTTTTTAATAAGGCCAATTTAAAAATATATTTTGGCAACCGAACTGAAGATTCCTCTCTTTACGAAAGAAAACTTCCAAACACTACCACTTTATTTGACTTTTGGTTGGAATTCTTCATTTGGTTTAGAAAGTGGTTTAATTCAAAATGTGTAGAGTGATATCAAAAGTCTTTGACCTTATGGCTGAAGTGAATGATGAATTTAGGTAATGAATCTCAACAATTTGTTACATAACATTATGTATCAATAATGACTGGCCACAAGGTCAGTCCCCATTTTTATGTTTCACTCGTTCAAATAAAAAAACAGGAAAGAGATCATGATTTTTTATTTTTTTTTACATGGTACATTTATTGATAACTTCAAACATTTCAAATTTAATTAAGGTTAAACTGTGAGCAATACTACACAATGACATTGGCGATTGGAATCGGGCTGGTTGTAACATGATCGGTAAAACAGTAATATTATGTTCTTTGTTATTTTCTTTTGCCTAGTGCAGTCTGCAAAGTTGGATTCAAAAGTATTTGCCTTAACATTTATATATTTACAAAAAATGTACATGCAGTAAGGTAGATTCTCTAAACAAGTTACAAGTTTGAAATTTTTATTTGCCTGTTGTTGGAAAATGTTGACAAAAAAGAACTTGTATGTATATCTTTCAAATGTGTGAGCCTTGATGCAGTTTTAGTGTTATATATAAGAAGTTTAAAAAGTAGCATTGTGTTTGAAAACAGTAGTCATCTTTATAAAAGTTCAAATAATCATTATATTTAAAATTTTATATATCAATTCCATTACACTGATACAAAAAGTTTGAATATTGGACAAAGTGATGGAAATCTTATTAATGAAAGTGCATTTACTTTGAATACACGGGCATTCATAGTGACGACATTTGTGGATTGTATATGACTGACAAGTGTTCATACATTTGAGAAGGTCCATTCATGGTTTGTCATAAGTTCTGCTTGGTTAGGAAATGCTTAGATCAATTTATGTGGAGTCAAACTTTTATTGGCTCTCTTGATTTTGAGGAGCCTAGCAGAAACCTAACAGATCCACCAGCATTTTAGGGGGCCATTGGCTCCTGAGCCCCCACTAATTTCAAGCCCTGTTCTACCCTTTCACTTTATAGCAGTTGCAAAAATTAAAATCTTAGTAGGATTGGAAAATTAAACAATATCTGGATAGCTGGATCAGCATAAAGCTTAATAATAACTAGAGGACTAGAACTTAACTTAAGGAAGAGCTGACAGTTATTTTTATAGATTAAGTAATCAATGTAGAATTGAACAAGAAACAAAAAAAAATACTAAAAATAAATGAATAATAAAATATTAAATACACTTAAAAAGAAAAAAAGGTATTTTCATTCTTGGAGTGCCTCAGTTGTTCAACAGTAACTGTAAGGGCTTATAATGATAAAAATCATGTTTTAATACCTACAGTGGACAGAGTACAGATAGCCCATGATGAAGCTTTATCCTTAACAAAAAAAAACATTATTCAAAATCCCTTAATTAAGTTAAGAGATGTTTTGTGACAAAGAATTAAAACTATTCATAACTGTTCACAGGAAACCACCCACAATATAGGCTTATTTAAAGGTTTTTGCATTATTTGTAAAGGCTTGATTTTCTTTATGATATTATTCTTATTGTGTGGCTTTCTGGTCTATTCATGTCTTGTGTAATTTCAAGCAAGATGATTTTTGAATAACATACGTAATCTTAAAACATCATAACTTTTTTACCATATCCAATTATTAAGCTTAATTTTTCAGCCTCAATTTTAATTCTTTTTGTGCTTCTTTTTTTTTAAAAAACACACTCATTGACCTTGAGAAGAGTTGTTTAACATTTAAAAATATGTTGGATCATTTGGAGTGGCTCACTGAATGGTTACAATAACTTTTCATTTTTTAATGTCTGCTTTTGTTAACTAAAGTTTAGTTTATAATGCATTCATTCCTTTTTAAATTTAGTTTAATGAATAAAGTTTTTTGTTATACTGACACAAAAATAGTATTTGACTTTAGTATATTAATTACATAATAGTTCATTATAAATGATGAATGTAATTTTCTAATACATAAAGTATTTTATATTCATCATGTTACCTGTAGAAGATCAGTCCATTGGATCTGCCCTATCTCATAAAAAATGGTTTCTTATTTCAAGTTTTGAATAATTTATTTAAATAAATCTTATTCGTAAACTATTAGGCATTTGTTAGAGTGGTTATTTAAAAAACAGTCGTCCCTAACTATATATATATATATATACTATTTCAGCGATGCAGAAAGAATATCAAAGAAGGAAAGGCACGACTTCCTCCACCAGGTGCTCGTCCTATTATACCTCAAGAATCTCATTCATCAGAATCCAAGCATACAGAACAAACAAGTGTTGAGTCAAAATCATTACATAATGGAAAAATAGAAGAAGAAACCATGGGTTCCTGCAAGTCATCATCCAATGCAGAGAGTAAAGTAGGAACAAATACAGGAATTTCTCTGGTGCCGGAAGTGGTACTTACTCAGGAGCATTCAGATGAAGAAGAGAGTATGAAAGACAGTTCCTTAGCTCCATCTTTACCTGTTCGGACAATACTTCCTCCTCCTCCTCCATTAACACCAGCTCCTTTGAGAAGTTTGGGACTTCGAGCTGTTCATCCAGTTAATGATTTCCCACCAAGACTTACTTATCTACACAGACAAAACTCCATACCTAATAATGCTTTTCCATCTTTTAATACAGGACTAGTTCCAAATACCTCTCCTGTTTCAAGCAGAGCTGGAATAAGTGGACCTGTTGTTCAGAATGTATTTTTTATGCCTGCAAGCTCTCAGGCCTCACCTTCTGGTCCAATACCCATTCCAGCTATGCAGGCACCAGTATTCATTCCTCCATCAAGTGGTACTAGTAATGTTTCCAGTTCATTTATACCCCCGTTTCCACATCCATCCTATTCCACCCCTCAGTTGTTTCAAGCACTTTCACCACAGCCAGTACTTGAGGCTCGAACTGGACCAAATGCTGTGGTTTTGGGATCACAAATGATTCCAGGAGCCCAGGCACGAGTACCTCTGCCTGCCCATAATACAATTACAAATATGCCTCTTTTACGAAATGGGTTTTTTGTTACAGGTCCTGTAGAGAGACCTGGACCACAGATGACTTATTTCCCCTCACCAACAACACTACCTGTCTGCACTGGTTCCTTACAGTTTCAAACGGTAACAACATTAGCCATGTGTTGTTCTAATAGTAGTAATACCTTTTATACTTCTGCTGTGTCCATACCTCCTTCAAGTGCACCATTATTACCTCAGATTCCATCTCTGAGGCCACCTGTGTGTTCTGTAGTTCCTGTGTGTTCAAACAAATCCATCGTAGAAGCATCAACAAAGACTTCCGAGTCTGTTCGTGTTTCCCATCCCATCGATAATGATGGAAGTTATGTAAAGACTTCTTCCAGTTCCATGTCACCAGAAACATGTAAAAGTAGTTTGCCAGTTTCTGAAAAAGTAGCTGATGTACAGAAAATTGAATCTCCTCCTGTAGAAAAGAAACCACAGGTGACTACTCAGTCTGTGGGTGTACAGTCAGAAGCACCTCCACCATCACCTAAGAAAGAGCCAGTGGTGCCTGAAACTGAAACACGTGGTGTGCAAACAGAAATCAAGCTAAAAGATATTGAAGTCACCGTGGATTCTGATTGGCTTGAAGAGGAAGACAGTTCGGGTGAGGATATTGTTAGTGATAAAAACTATTATAAAAACAAAGTCTTAGTAAAACTTCGAGAACACACCTATAGCTGTGACCTCAAAAGAGAAACAGCCAAGAAAAAACTGCAAGTTGAAAAACTAAAGCCATCCTTTTGCTATATGAACAGACTGGTTGGAGGTTTTGAATGTGTAAATTCGATATTTCAGTATCTTGGAGTTGCAGATCTCCTCAGGTGAGAGAAATGTGTGTGAATACAGCTGATGATGATTAATCTGTTATTAGTTGATATGAAAATTGTTTACATTTCAAATAAATTTCCTGAAAGTTTCCTTTATCATTTAATTATATAATGAAATACAAATGACTTCAAATATTTTGAAGTTTAGATAGATGTTAATAGTAGATACAAATATGAGACTTCTTTAGCTAAAGGCTGTTTTAGTTTAATTCTTTTCTTACAACTATAGTTGATGTAGTATTACACCACAGTTTTTCATGATTATGTTCGCATTCTTAATAATAGTTGACAAACTTTATAACTGTGCAAAAATATATTTTATCTAGTAAAATTTGTAGCAGAGAAACTGAAATGATAAACTGATTAACCAATTTATGTTAGAAGACCGACATGTAAGATTTTGTAAAAGCTTCAACTAACTAACCTTTGCAGATTGTGAAATGCACATTCAGTGCCTAGTATACTGCATGTTAGCTGCATCTAACTTCATTTATAGCAAAAATATATAGATAATGTATTCAAATCTTTTTCAGCATTTTAAGTCTAGGTGCATTTCATTTCAAAATAATTTAGTAATCAATATCTAGAACCACTTTATGCATAAAAGATGAATTTTCTATTTTGTAAGTAATTTCTAAGTCTCACTTAGCAGTTTCTAATTGACTTTATAAGCAGAAACTACTCTTAGGCCCGATATCATGGTTTTGAATACAACTTCACATGTAATTTGTTCAGTGTGTTATAATTCTTTATGTTCATTTTATTGTTAGTTAATTTTAGTTTCGGTCCAGTTGATTAATGATTCTATGACTAAAAATAAGTTATTTCTTGTACAAAAATAATTACATTTTTCTTTCTTATTCAAATAATCTTAGACTACATTTACCTGAATCTGTCAGTGTAGAGTGACATAAAATAGACAATTCTGCTTAATTATCAATTTATCATCACTTCATCATTATACATAATTATATACACAGGTAAGAACAAGTATGATACACTGATTGGTTCTTGTGATTTAAAAATTGCTTAAATGAGTTGTATAGATTTGGCAGACATAACTTTTATAAAGCATTAAAAATCATTAGCTCATTCAGCACTTGTATTTCAACATCTTTCATTATTCGTGTGGTTTCATTTGGAACCAATAAGTTAGTGTTATTTTAATTGACAATTTTGCCTCATGTTTTTTTTAAGTAAAAAATCTTACAATTTGTTAATTTTCTAATTTAGTGGAATGCATACTGTAAAATAATTTGTTTTGAAAGAACATTGTATTTATAAGAAATTGAGTTTTTAAGTATTCTATGGTACTTGTATGAGTACTGAAAACCTTGAGAGCACTTAAGTTGACTTTTTCTTTTCAAATAAAAATTTTAAAAGCATACACTGTACTGATAAATTTTGGAAAGTTATTTCAATTGTAACTTTTAGTAGAATTAAACAGATGATCAACAACTGATCGTTCTCTGGGCTGAAACAATCTCAGTCTATCATGACATAGTGATTCATAAAATCCAAATCTACAAGTGTCCTCTGTCATGTCTATCTATAATAGTACTCATGACCATTGCCAATCTTATTATCAAGGTAAAGCTCACAGATTTAAGCCAATAGCAATGTTGAAATTTTGTCCCAATACTTTTGTGCAGAAAAATTTTCAAGATTAAAAGAGATCAGTGTTATGTAGTATGAAAAGGTTGAATAGTGAGCTTTGAAATGATAAGAGTATTTTAGTTGCTTTTATCAAAATGTATTCAAAAATTAGTGCGAAATGATTATGCATGGTAATCATTGGTGTGGAAATAGCCTATAGTTTAACGCAATTGATATTAATCTTTTTTTGCTAACAATGTTGTAGGAAATAGGAGAGAAAATTCAATTATACAACCGGTGCTAGATAAGGATAATAGAATTTCATTAGTATAATTTTTATTTTATTCTATTATAGTTATTATTCTATTTTTACCAGAATGTTATAACCAAACAACATGCAAAATGATTGTGGAGTTTCATAATCATTTCAGATCAGTTTTTAATACTGTCTGTGTAATAACCTGTGGGTAAAATTCAAACCTTACGTTATGATGCAAACATTTCAGACATCATAGTTACGTGTAAGTTAATCTGTGTTCAACATTTATCAACATGCTGCTGACTGGACTGTCAAAGAATGCAGTATGTGTTGCATAATTGTAACTTCAGGCTGTAAAATTGTTTCTCAACTGAAATGATAATTTCATACATTTGTTAAAATTAAAGATTTATAAAATACAGACTTCTAAAATAGCCTGACTTTATGTCTAGAGTTGGCAGATAGTAGTCTTTTTAGTGAATAGAATATTAAAGTATTATTCCAGTACTCAAATGTAGTTGATATGGGATTGGAACAATATGAATTGCACACTTCTGCATATGTATTATGAAAAATGTAAACTGAGGCATATTCTGAGAAGAAAAGTTATGTGTGTGTGTGTCTGTCTAATATATATTATATGATACTTGAATGTTGTAATAAATGCTGTTTAGCAATGTATTATTGATAATAACTTCTGACTGAAAGTAAAGAAGAGAATTTAATTTTTTTTTAATGTATCAACCACACTATGTCTAGTATATCCAGTGACAATGAGGCCTTTTGCTAAATTTCAGGGCTCTACAGACTGTCTGGGATACAACAGACATAGTAAAGGTTGAGATGCTATTTATGTTAACAAATTGCTTGAACAACAACTGTTTATAAATCTTTATGTCACTACAAATTACAGTAAGGATTTTTTTGTTAACACTATTCCTTATTTTTACAACATATTAATACATGGTATATGTACATATATGTCAATATCTTCCACTCCTGAAAACTTTTCTTTCTGATACATAAACATATTTTTCTGTTTTATGTTTTCTTATTTTACTCATCATCTTCAAACTTCTATTACGTATTGTAACATTTCCGCATGAAACAAATTGAAGCTGGATATTCTATGAAGAACCTTACTTGGAGTAAAAAAGGCAATCTCTTATCTCAATGTATAGTATTCAGTTAATCTGTTTATTGTCAAAGTAATCCATTCTTTTATAACTTGTAAACAGTAAACTTGTAAGTTTAATTGACCATAAGACTGAACAGTAATGTTGTTTGAACAAATATTGTTATGCACTGTATTTGATATTAAACAAAGCTTGTAAAGAAAGCAGCAAACAGTAAGGGATCTACACGTGGGAATGGAGGAACACCTTTTGCTTTTTGTAAATTTAACTATCTGGTATTTGACCAGCTTTTTTACTGTCTACAGTATTGAAATTCTTCATGATATTGATCCATCCAAAATTGGTATTGAACTTGATATCAAGCAAAAAGGTGGTATTGGTAAATTCCTAGGTGATATTCGATTATTGTTTAGAACTTGTACTAAATTGCTGAGACTGATATTTCTGTTTAAAATATCCTTAGAGCTTTCAATTTTAGAAATATACGCTCTTTGCTAATGTCTTATCCTTCTCTCACATTGTTTGATTTATTAAGTTGTTTTTTCATCTTCAATTCATGAAAGACGACATTTCATTAAGATAAAAGAAAAAAAGAGGAAACTATATATGCTATATAGATATATTTATAATAAGGAACACAAAACTGTTTCCCTCTGTCTTTTTAATAACTTGACTAAACTTTTTCTGATATAGAGTAGTTTTTTTGCTTCTTTTCTTTTTCCATGACAAAATTCTATATCCAGCTGTAATTTTATAACTCTCCCTGCTGAATTAGTATTATAAAAGTAACTATTGCCATATTCTTCAGTGCCAGCCAAGTTTCTCGGACGTGGAGAACTCTAGCAACACAACCATTTCTTGTAAGTATAAAAAATAATTTTAACTTAAATATACATTTTTTTCGTCATTTCTTTGAATTTATTACTTAATTATGCAACTATAGGTTAAATAGTTATTTTAAACCATTGCAATAGATATAGATTCTGATTAATTTCATCAGAATTGATTAATATAAAATTGTTTTGTAATATTAGATTATTGAGTAGGTTTGAGTATTTCTTCACTATGTTATGTTGTATAACCTAACTGCATTGTTTGATTTTTCATTCTAGTAGGTTCTTTGTAAATGTTTTTATTTTCATCTGTAGTAGTTTCATTTCTTTTGAAAAAAGCTGTGTTCTACCATTTTAGATTAAGTATTTAGTTTAAAATACTCTAATATAACCTTATGTAATGTAAGTAAAAATGTTTTTTTTATCTAAATTTTTTACTCCTAATTTCTAATACAGTATTAACCTTTCTGAAATTAAAGTAGGTTAAAAGCAAATAAAAGAGTAAGCCCAACAAGTATATATATATATATATATATATTGGAAAAAAGTCAAAGAAAATTATTCTGTAGACCACTTGGAAAATGATTTATGTAGAGAGTTAGTTTTTAAGGTAGTGATAAATAGTATGACATTCAGTTGTAATTTGTTGCAAAAAGTGTTTATTTCCTACCTTGTAAATTTTTCGGTCAAATTTGACTTGTAATCCATAACAGTTTGAATAGTGTTTGGTGTTTGATATATTATGTTGAAACATTGCATACTGATTGTAAGCAAATAATAGTTAGCCATGACTCATTTTAAGATTACATTTTGAATAAAGGGAATTGTGTGATGTATCTTATGAGGAATTATCAAATTTTATATTCTCTTTTGTATAGAATAAAACTTGTGTTCAAACTATTTTCAGTGGAAATGTGTATGCCTGGGAGATCTCTACATAACGAATTGGGCCCTCTGTGCAAAGGCTCTAGAATGTTTCAACACCACCTCTCTTGTAAGTTTTCTATTTTTTCTTTTCCAATTGAAATTAAACTTGTCATATTATATTTAAAAACTTTTTTTTTTATAATTATTAGCATGTGACCCTTACTTTAACATAATATTTTAGAAACAACCTGATTTATAGACGATTTTTTCAGCACTTGTTAACTTAGTATTCAGCAGTCTGACAAACTTGGACAAAGGAACAAGATAGAAATAATTGATACATAGGAAACAAAACTCAAAAGTCCACTGTAAGAGTTGTAGAATTACAACAACGAGAACTGTAAATGTAAGAGAAAAAAATCGTATTTGAAGATTGCCATGAAAATATTATACATTATCAGTGTAAGGAAAATCAGCATATAAAATAACTATAGGCTTGTAGACACTAGCTGTCTATGAGTAATGGGATTGTCACAGTGACTAATTTACCATTGTGTGAAAAGTTGTTTCTAATTTTTTTGTATTAGGATTTGAGAGATGTTGGCCATTTAGAAGATCGTGCAACTTTTTGGGGTTACTTCATAAGAATTTTGGGACATTTAAGGAATCTCCAGCATTTAGCATTTGGAGAAGTAGTACCAGAAGTTTTACCAGCAGTTTCTGAGACAGTTACTCATCTTCAAACACTCACAGCTGAATGTGTCACAGAAGCCACTGGAGCATCAGTTTGGTAAGTTGTTTGCCAATATTTAATGGTGCAGTTACTGTAGCTACTTTCTTTGAATGTGTCAAAGAATTTACTTTGGCATCAATTTATTGTCGTAGTTCAATGTTTATTTATACTAATAATAGCTGTGTTCTCTGACACAGAAGCTACTGGAGCATCAGTGTATTAAGTCAGTTGTCATTATTTATTGTGTAGTTCACTAGCTGCTCCATTCATGTGTTACATTAAGCTGTTATTCTGTAGCATTTATCTTCTTTGTGTATTGTGTAGTGAAATTAATTAATCCTTGTTATTGGATATTATTGTCACTGTAGTGATTATCAGTTTTTATGTCCTAGGTCCTTTGAAAAATGTAACTGTAAGATGTTATGTATTAGCAGAAATGCTGCCCTACGCACATCTATTTGTGCTAGAAATTACCAATCATAGTATTCATACCTCATTGAACAAATTTGGGAAAAAGTGAACATTTCCTAAAAAAGGATATTTTTCTGGGAAGTACTGCATGGGAAAAATGTTTGGGTTGTGCTCTTTAGTCTTTGCATCAAAATGATTCAATGAACAGAGCTCAAATTTTTCATAACTTTTACTGATATAAACTGTAATGTATTTATATTTTAAAAGTGGTACTATTTATTGAAAAAAACAATAGTTTTTTTAAGAAATCCAGTTTCACAGTACTACATTTAGAAATTACATCAATAAAGATATAATTAAATCCTCACATACAGTCCTAGTGAAAGTTGTGTTCTTGTCGTCAGGAGGGAACTTTTATTTAAAATTGCATTCTCTTATAAAGAAATGGTTGTTGCACATACCACAGTTATTTTTCTAGTTGTCTGAAATTTTTTGAATACCCAAAGTGTGAAATTTTTTATGGATTTTTGTTTGTGGTGCCATTCAATAGATGGTGCAGATACTGACATACACACTACATCCATTATAGTAAGAAAATGTGATTGATTGGTTTTGTTTTAAATATAATTTCTTATTTATTCTATGATGCATGCAAAATTTTATCATCTTAACATTTTCCAGCCTGTGAAAATGACATCAGATTTGAAAAATTATTTATGGTGTATACCCACACATTTCTTTCAAAATAAAATTATAACTATAATGTTGAGGTTTTAAATATCATTTGATGTCAATTTTATTAACCTTTATTTTGGATGAAATAATTTTAAAAAATTAAACTGCTAGCCCTAAATGATGGTTTGCAGCCTGTTGGAATTGCCATTCAGATGATTAAAAATTGTTAAATGACGGTTTGCGCAGATACAACTTGTCAGTAAGTGAACCTAAGCTACAAAATTGGAAGTCTTTTTATCCATTTGGGGATTCTTGTTGTCATTTATTTAGGATATTCTATAATTTTAAGCCACAAAATGATAATAAATTAATTTAATGAATCCACTCACTTGTATTTGTTGATTTTACTGAAAAAATTGTCTTGGTAGTTAATTTTCTGTTTACAAGAACTGTTCCAAGGTTCATAACTCAAGGCCATCAATCACTGCTAGTATCATATTTTGCTCTTGGTCAAAGGTAAGAGATGTTGCGTCTTTTTTGAACATGTGTTCCTTAAATTAGAAAAAAGGAGGACATAGATAAGTTTTATGTATAAAATAGAGTGAGATAAATACTATATATTTATATTAGTTTTAATACTTTAGATGATTTTTTCCCCACTAGTTTCTTCAACAAACTGGCCTAGCACATGATGTCATTATGGCTAATATGGTATATGTATGAAAACTTGCTTTTAGGTCAAGGTTACATGGAGCATGCATAATGACATAGTAATTAGCTATGTTATGTAATGGTTTGATTATGATATAAATCATAAATTGACAGAGAAATCAAATTTTTATTGCAAAAGGTTTCAAAAACTATGCCATATGTTTGAAATGTCTGTGTTTCAGATTTGGTAAATTTTATTAAGTTCTTAATTTTTATTAATGTAAGATCAAAGGTGGCATAACACTGAACACCAGGCTCCAAAGAGTTAATTAAATATACTAATTTACAAATGGATTTGGATGAGAAAATATTATTGATGCTCTTTTTCCTCATATAAACTTAATATAAAGTAGGAGCATACATGTAGAGTAGTAACTGTAGTTCTCACATGTATATTATTCTCAGTAATCTAAGGTATCTTGTATTACGTCCTACACAATTGCAACTTTTTTAGTTGGGTAGTTAGTAGAATTTTCTGATTAATCAATGGACTCCTTAATTGATTATTACATCATTGAAGTAAAGAAATAACAGGTACACGGTAGTCTTTGTCGAAGTAAAAAAACTTGTGATACTAACAGCCGAGCTTTTATACCTGTTGCGAGCAGAGCATAGATATTCCATTGTATGGCTTTATACTGAATAACAAATGGACATAATGACAAATTTGTGATTACTTCTATAGTTGGAAAAATTGAGAACACTAATAACTGGAAACCCTTACTTTACTTAGTTAATTTTTTTGTAAGTTCTAACATTAATCGATATGTGTGAATATTTTGTGTTCTTGATTGTGTATGTGAAGTAACTAAATAAAGTTTACCCTACACTGCTGATTTTGCTACATCTATTATTTTGGGGAAAATATAAAGCTTTATTGAAAAGAGTAATGTTCATTTACGAGGTTCTAGAAGTTATGCAAATGAAATATGAAACTATAAGATGAAAAAATTGTCTTTATTCTTAACTTGATAATCACTTTGCATTCAGAATGACTGAGTTAATGTTTTGCAAATTCACAGACAAATCTTTTATACAAATGCTTAATTAAGGTATCTGATTGTTTGTGTACAAAACATTTGAAATGTTTACTAAAAGCTTGTGAAATTTTGTGAAGTTATATTAAAAGTTAGAGTATGTATGGTTACAAGGTTGGTCAAAATGAGTGAGCCCATATATGGAGTTAATTGAAAGTAATGATAAAAATTATGATGTCAATATTTGAATTGCTAGATAATTGGAGTAATCAGAAACATTGAGTTTGATTAGTTGATTTTTTTGTGGCATTAATTGAGTTATATTAAAAGTTATAGTATGTATGGTTACAAGGTTGGTCAAAATGAGTGAGCCCATATATGGAGTTAATTGAAAGTAATGATGAAAAGAATCTTCAAACACTTTCATAGTTGAAAGGTTATAAATGTTGCAGCAAGATCTGAAGTGTTAACAAAATTGATTGTTAAATATGTTGAATATTTCTATATATTTCATGATTCCTCTTGTTCTAATCCTATTTTGTGTCTTAATCCTACAAACTTTTATTAGATGTAAATATTCTTTAGGTTTGAGTTTTGGGGATAAAACACTATTGAAAAAGTAAGAATTATTCTCCTTGAGACCATAAACATTTAGGGGTGAACTTTAACCTTGCAAGCTCTTCCTTGCTATTGTTTCAGTAGCTTTTTAAAATTTTGTTTGTCTTGTCTTTACTCTCAGTTGGTTTTTACCTCTTTAGAATAAAACTTAGTACAACTATCCAAGAGGGGATAAGCATAAAAGGTTTAACATAAATTATGTTGCAAATTTAAAAAATACATTTCCAGCACATTATTCCATTCTGTGGCTACTATGTTGAGGTCTTAGTATTGAAGACATCTGTAACAAACTCTCTAAAATTTTTTTTTAATGAAATAACTAGTTTAAAATTAAAATATCTGCTAAAATCTTTTATTTTGCTTTTAAACTCTATAAATGACATTTCAACTCTAAAATAAAAAACATATACCATATTGTACTGAAAATCATGAAGTTTGGTGGAATATAATGTTTTTATTTTGCTATAGTAAGATTCCCTTAGTCATAAATGAAGCAGTAGTTTTACATTTAACACACCGGTTGTGATTATAAATAATTATATTTTGTTTCGTCATAGACATAAAATAACGTTGATGAGGCCCTCAAGATGATGTAAATATGTTACTTTCATCTATTTTCATTTAATGTTAATTTTAATTAATAACTCTTTTTCAGGACAACACTATGTAAAGTTGACTTCAGTAAAATAGGAAGACTCAGCTATTTGAACTATCTTTGGGTAAGGGGTGGAGGAGGGCTTCGTCTGCCATCATTAATGTCCAATGGGGGTTTACAATCTCTGGAGAACCTCACCATGCTTCGACATCTGGTGAGCTCATCTAGTTTACTGTAGTAATGTTTTTGTTTTTTGTGTGTGTATGTGAAAATCTTCACATTTAATGAACTAATAAATCATCCTTCTTATAAACATTTGAGGATTAAACCTTTCCTGGCTAGTATCTTGTGTTTTTTTTATGAAGGCATTTGATAACTAAGTTTTCACAACTTCTAGCTGATCTCCTATGCCTTCCTCAAATCACCTACAGAGTAGAAATTATATCTGTAATGTTCAGATTTCGATATTTGTTTTGGATAATGTAAGAAAAAAAAGTCCAATTTGTTCCCATAATGTAATTGTTAATTGGGATATTGAAGTATTGAAACTTATTGTCAACATACATAATAAAAATATCTCAAATAATTTTGAAACTGTGAATTTTTGAAGTTGGTGGTGTCAAAAACCATATAGTTCAACTAACTACACTTTTTGTTTTGCAACTTCTAAAGCTAATAAAATCATAACGATATCACCTGAAAGGTGGGACTATTTTCTTTCTCACAGTCCTTGTCACAGAGCTTCCTTCTTTTCTTATCTAAATTGTAAATTTCTAAACTTAGTTATTACATCAGAAGTCATACTTTGGTCACATGCCATCAAGTAATCAAACTATATCGTGTTTCGTCAGGCTCGGTGGATCACATTCAACTAATTGATTATTCTCACATGAGCCTAATATTCCAATGTTTGAGTTTTTTAAGGATATTTTGAGACTACTCTTCACTTAGTTGGTAGACATCTTTATGTATAATAATTTAGTATTAGGTCATCAAGAAATTAATGTCTCCGATGATCATAGTTTCCAACGTGTGAACATTGCTTCGTCTCTTCTGGAGCGTAATGTGCGTGAACCATTTTTGGACAGAATTGTTACCGGTGATGAAAAATGGATTTTCTATGCGAATATTAAACGCCAAAAACAATGGCTCAGTCTTAGATAAAAACCACTTCCGACTCCAAAACCTAGACTCCATCCGCAGAAAGTGATGCTTTACATTTGGTGGAATATCAAAGGAGTAATTCATTTCGAACTTCTCAATCCACAGACAAATTGTACAATTCAGAGATCTGTAGTCAG